CGCTGCCACGCCTCGCATGTGTTTGTCGTCCTGGGCAGTCCCTGCGCAGCCCTGTCTTAACGGTTCCTCAAAGACGGAGGAACATTGGCCACCCTCGTTCCTGGACCCATCTGCCCCGTCTGCGCCCCTGGAGACGTCCTCTGATGTAATTTTCTTCCACATGCTGGAAGACGGAGTGTAGGGCAGGGCGTCGAAGGCGTCCTCGACGTCCTCCTACGGCACGAAGGTGACAGTGATCAGTGCGTGAAAGTCATCACGCATCGCCTCACTCTCCTCCACCCTGTAGATGATGGCTAGGCCCGCCACTTGGACCTGGCGAAAGAGGGACTGGCCAAGGTAGAACAGGCGCCCGCACAGATCGCAGTCTGCGGCAGGGTATTGTTGCAATAATATCGGCCAAATTACAGTTGCAAAAAAAAAATGGTCCGGGACGAGTTGGCCGCCCCAGTAGGACGAGTTCGGAAAATGGCCAGGGACGAGATAGGGTCGGGACCAGAAGGGCCGGGTACGAGTTGCTCGGGACGAGTTGTCCTGCTCCCATGCAGAGCCTGTAGAAAAAAATGGAATATGAAACAAGTCTCACTTCAACTGAACCAACTAGGTACTCAGGCACTTCTCACAGTAAGTGTAATGATCTTGTAAATACTTACTCGCATGTAGTGCCAGACACACCCCCACACAAACAAGACCCTGTCACGACAGGCCTCCCTCCAGCCTGCCCTCTCTGAATCTTCCCAGTCGGTAATGACTTCAGTGACGTCAAGTCCCTGGCCTCTCAATTTCTTAAATGCAGCTGTCTTTGCCCCTATGGTCTTTCTGGACATGATGGTAAAGGCAATTAGTAGTGTCTGCAATTTAGAAAAATGGCATTATTGTAAATTTAAATTTTCTTTACAGCTATCATGTAATAAATGTAATTGCTCTTACAGTTCCAAATACAAGCACTGATAGTATGAGGACCTGGAGTGCTCCAATCAGGCGAGGCGTAATCTTATATGTTGGATCAGAGGCCAACGTCATCTCGCCTAGGTATTTTTAGGCACCGCTTTAAGGCGAATACCAATGCCTCCCCATCCTCGCCACCCACAATACCTTGGTAGAAGACCTCTTGTCATCAGAAGTTCTGCCTGTAATAATAATCATTTTTTTTAAAGGAAAGACTGTACTGAAATTGGCATCTCTATGATTAAATGAGAAGCACCTTTTGAAATGTTAATTCTATGTTCAGTTTGATGACAAAAAAAATGTATGGGGTCTATAAGTTGAACCGTTAAAAAGTTACAGTGATTGGTATTAGTTTCCAAGGTCTTACGAAAAAGGTTCCTTGCGTTACAAAAGTGAACGTGAAAGGCTGAGGTAAATAATTTTGAAATCAGAAAAGATAGGGGAACAGCTTCTCTAAGCCAGAATCGCAATATTTACAGATGAAAATCAACCAAAAGTATAGCTTTCAAATTTTTTTTTAGACAGAATTAAAAGAAATCATCAAATCTGGCTTAGAGATCTTGTAGACTTGTAGACACATCTTTCAAAACATAAAACCTCAAATGTCCAACTCAGTAACTTAGAATTTGTAAAGCAAGGAAGTTTTGAAAGAATTAAAAAAAGTAGAACATAAAAGAGTATTTAAAGCTCATAAGGGGACGGTCGGTTTTTCATTTTTCAAACAGTCTAGGCATTCTAGGCCAGAAAACAATCTTCATCGAATGAAACCCCGGAGGGAAATTCGAGGAAAAATCCAGGAAATTCAAAAATAAAAGGAAATTATTTTTAAATTAATTTAAAAATAATTTTCAATTAATTTTGAATTATGCCCTGCCGAGGGGTGAGCTCCACTACTTCTTCTGCTCTAATATAGCTCTCAGCCCGAGCTCGACAGTCAAGCTTATCATATTCCACACATTTATAATAGACTTTAGCAACTGAAGGGTAAGCCTTCTCTTTATGGAAGAAATATCCCCCAAAGGCATAGATTTTCGACCTTCTCTGTCCCTGATGGATGACGGTGCCCCCGTCATCAGAATCGGAGGCCTGGTCGAAGAACTCGTCCTCCTCAGAACTCATGATGAACGGAATCTGTTACAGTGGAAGTGGAGTTGAGAATACACTGGGCAAGGTCTTCATACACGCGTCGCCTCGAATTACTCAAGGCGATAAAGTTGCCTTATCTTTGAGATAAATGTAATAAGCTTTCGGAAAAGGAACAAAATTCATGAAATGCCGAAAAGATTTTTGAGAAGATTGGGTTAAGAGTGATTTATTCTGCTCGCAACTCACCTCGAAAAACTGCGATATACTCTTCTAGACCTCATTTCTGAAGTAGATTTGCAGCCTCCATACTTCAAACTTCTTGACAGGAAAGGCGAAAGAGTCACGCCAAAGAGAAACCGTAAAATGCACGGATTTTGGCAAAGTTACGAATAGCCCAGGGGCCAAGGAGGACTGGCCAAAACAAGCAGAAGCCAAAGCGCTGCAAAGCGTACCACCCTAAAAACCAAAACACACCATCTTTTCGAGGCCGCGGACACTTACACATCTTGTCTACTACAAGATATTAATACACTTTGCACTCCTTAGTGTTTTTCTACAACATTTTATGAAAATATACTCCAAAAGTTCAACAAAACATATTTTTATTTTTCGCCTCGGGGTGTTGGTGAAAAGGCGCACTGGAGTCCAGCCGCCATCTTTGTAGCTTCATGTTTGTTAGTATGATCGTAACCTCCGTGTGCAATGTGCATATTGGTTTTATCATGGAGTAGAACTATAATGGAGAAGCAACTAAGTACGTTGAAATGTGTGCCGCGCTGGCTGGCGAAGTGATCTCCTCTGAAGCCAATGTGCTTAGAAATCTCACCTACTCAGTTTTGGAAGCCTATGGTCTACTGCAGCTAATGATGCCCTTGTTTTGAGTGTAGCATCATTTAAACTGGAGCTACGACGCCTGGAACGCCGCAGATCTGTTTTCGGCCATGTGCCACCCGTGTATGTAGAAAGAGACAGAGCCAGGTTCATGAATGTCCATGAAATAAAAACCGTCTGACACTGCGGCGTTCAGGGTCTTCACGGATGTGTACAAAAGGAAGAATTTGAAGTAAAAGCTTTTAATTCAGTGGCCCTATTCGAAGAAATATGACCCTCACTCTGTCTGTCTCTCTCTACATACACGGGTGGCACATAGCCGAAAACAGATTTGCGACGTTCCAGGCGTCGTAGCTCCAGCTTGAATGATGCTACACTCAAAACAAAGGCATCATTAGCTGCAGTAGACCATAGACTTCCAAAAACTGAGTGGGTGAGATTTCTAAGCACATTGGCTTCAGAGGAGATAGCTTCGCCAGCCAGCGCGGCGCACATTCTAACGTACTTAGTTGCAACTCCATTATAGTTCTACTCCATGGTTTTATTGACAAGAAAAGGCTGACAGTAACATCTGGTATCCCTAACAGTCCAATTTTCGATTCTTCCCGAAAGTCCGAAAGTAGGGTTAAAGTACTCCAAATTACAGGATAACCGTGTGTCACTGTTAAAAAAATTGCAGTAAATTTACAGCGAAAATGTGATTAATTTTGTTAGCAGCATAAACTGTATTTTTACAGGCCTTACTGTAAAAAAGCAGCGTTAATTAAAATGTTGGAAACAAAGTTTCCGACCAAAAGAAGTTACTTTGTTTTGCTCTTGAAAAAAAAAAAGGTTATAATACGAGTGTCCTGTTTTGGAACGAAATGTGCTGCAAACAAAATTAACTTCTCTTTTCTTGTAAATGTACATCAAAGTAATACGTAGTAGTTTTTGTTGTGGGCCACTTTGGGCCGAATATCACAAGTTTCGAGAGTGTTCAAATGAAAACAACATTTCTGTTACATTACAGTAGTGTCAATCAGGCAGTAAGTCATTAGGTGACAGATATTTTTAACAGTGTAGACAGACTATAATGTGATAATGTATGCTGGAACCGGTAATACTACTCATAAGTACGCATCCAATCGCGGGTATTGTCACCATACCAGTCAATAAGAATCTAAAATGCATCTGTTTTGTGTTCCTTGCTGTTTTGAAGTTGATGTCTTGTTTCAGTAAAAAAATGTTCAAAAACTTTTCCTTTCAAACTTAATATAATTAAAGACTTTTGTCTTTATTCTGAAATTTTCAGGAGTGCTTGTTACTAATGTTATTTATATAATTCTCTACCATGGAAATTGTGAATAGATTTCCGCCTTTCCATACGTTAGTAATATTTTTGGCACAATTTTGGGTAAGTATATCAAATTAAAACCTTTTAAAACTGTGAGATAGGTTGGTTCAGAATGACAATTTCAGCATGTTTGATCTCGGCTTGCACATGGTTCTAATCTCGATATAATGTAGCTTCCTTGCAAACATGCCACGTTCGATTGAAATCCGATATCAGGAACCATGTGCAAGCCGGGCTCTCTCTTTTATTTGGAACCACCCTAATGTGAGGTCTCTAGAATCGAACTCAGTACATTGTTCTAAACAGATAATGGAAAGAATAACTTGTTGTTGCGTTTGATTTATTAAAATTTCAGTTTTCTTTTCAGGAGCTATGCAGTGCAGACCACGGTATTTCCTCTGCATTCATTGCAATCCATATAATTTTTTGTCTGACCTCAATGAGCTCAATAACCACCTTATGCTGATACATACTGGTATCAAGACATTCTCTTGTGGCCATTGTAAGGAAGGTTTTTTGCACTGGAGATCCCTCATACGTCATATTGAAAATGAACATGTTAAGAAATCAAATCAAAGTAATGGTAGTGCTTCTTCATCTGACTCTTGAGCAGCTGACAACAATTTGCGAGGCAATGAAGGTATTGTGAAAGCCAATACAAATGTGCTGATGCAAAGTTTTCAAAATATATAAAATTGTGTTTTCTTGTGTTTTAGTTTTTTATATTATTTTATTGGCTGAGCGATTAGCGAAGCCTATTACTCCAGTGATGATCAAAAAGTTTCACGTCTGTCTGTCTGTGTGTAGAGATAGGAAAATTGCGCGTTTCAAGTTGCCCGATTATGCTCTAAAAATGCGAACATTTATGCCCTAAATATGCTCTGAAAATGGGTCAATTATGCTCCGATTATGCTTCGTTTTTTACGATTTTATGCGATTTTATGCTTTTTGGTCGTAAAATCGGCAAATTTGCTGAAAAACAGTGTTTAGGTTTAAAGTTCACTTAGAAAAGAAAAAAGATAAAATAGATTCAACAGTTTAATTAAGAAAAAAAATGGATCTTTCTGTGGTCAGTGATCATCAAACAGAACATTTTGGACTAAAATACAATTGTCTAGAGGTCGTCGTCAGGGTCCTCCTCACTCTCTGGTGATAATGGCAAGGTCACTGAGTTGTCAGGGTCATGTCCAGCAACAGCAACTGTGTCAGTCATGTCAATTTCGTCACTAAAATACATACATATCATGATTTCAGTGTTTTCAGCACTGAGCCTGCACCTTTTAGAACTTAAAATATCATTATAAGCTGAGAAAGCTCTTTCACTGTCGACATTTGACACTGGCATATGCAGGACTTGCATACACAGTGCAAAAAATTCTGGGTGATCCGTCTTCATTGACAGCAATGCTTCACACATGACATCACCTTTCTTATTATTATTATTATTCGAATGGAGATATTCTTTCACAGCATCTGATAACAAACCATGCAAGACCTTAAAATTAGGGAGTGGGATACTATTAAGCAGTGCAATATTATTTTTTGCAGTTTCAAAATCTGTATCAGAACAACCTAAAACAATTTTACTAGGGTTAAACAAAGTTTGGGCTGCTTGAAAATAATTTCTAGCAGTATCATTGGCTAAATACTCAGTCAATATCTCATCACATTTTTTTGCCACAGCCTTAATCCTATCACACACAGCTCTTTGCTTCTGATTAGAAAGTTTTTGGAGACTAGATTTTGTTTCCTTAAACAAAACAGAAGTTATATTACTAGCTGACCCAAGTAAATGAAACACTTTCTTGATGTCATTTACCTTAGAATAAACAACATGTGCCATTGGGTACAGAGATCCTTCTAAAAATAAAATCAAATCACAGACACTGGAACAGTACTCTACAACAAAGTCAGCTTCAGTTTTAATAACCTTTAAATCATCTGCAGATAGCTTTTTAAAATATTGCACAGAGTTGACCTTTTCTGATTCAGGGATGGTTTTTGCATAATTTGTGACATCCTCAAGATAGGTAGAGATATACTGAACTGACTTTTTCCAGGAACCCCACCTGGTCATCACTGGCATAGGGAAAAGTTTGGGCTCTTTAGCCTTTGAAAAAGAATAAGTATCTTTCAAATACTGAATATATCTGTGCTTCCGCTTCCGTGTATTTTTAAAAAGTTGCTTTGTATTCATTACACATTCATGTAACATCTGCAGCTTGTCAGAGAAAACTTTAACCACTTTATCTGTTTTGTGTGCCCAACATTGAATGTGAACAAGATTTGGGTTAACCAACTCTTTCAGAAGTTTAGCACATAGAGTCATGTAAGCAGCTCCATCAGAGACAACTGCAGCACAATTTTCATGTGCCAAATCAAATTGAAGTAGAGTCTGCAACAACCAAAAAGATTAAATTAATATTGTATATAAAAAAATCTATTAAAAAGCACATTTTGGGATACCAGTCAATAAGAATCTAAAATGCATCTGTTTTGTGTTCCTTGCTGTTTTGAAGTTGATGTCTTGTTTCAGTAAAAAAATGTTCAAAAACTTTTCCTTTCAAACTTAATATAATTAAAGACTTTTGTCTTTATTCTGAAATTTTCAGGAGTGCTTGTTACTAATGTTATTTATATAATTCTCTACCATGGAAATTGTGAATAGATTTCCGCCTTTCCATACGTTAGTAATATTTTTGGCACAATTTTGGGTAAGTATATCAAATTAAAACCTTTTAAAACTGTGAGATAGGTTGGTTCAGAATGACAATTTCAGCATGTTTGATCTCGGCTTGCACATGGTTCTAATCTCGAATATTAACCAAACGCGGCTTGTTGGAAATATAATGTAGCTTCCTTGCAAACATGCCACGTTCGATTGAAATCCGATATCAGGAACCATGTGCAAGCCGGGCTCTCTCTTTTATTTGGAACCACCCTAATGTGAGGTCTCTAGAATCGAACTCAGTACATTGTTCTAAACAGATAATGGAAAGAATAACTTGTTGTTGCGTTTGATTTATTAAAATTTCAGTTTTCTTTTCAGGAGCTATGCAGTGCAGACCACGGTATTTCCTCTGCATTCATTGCAATCCATATAATTTTTTGTCTGACCTCAATGAGCTCAATAACCACCTTATGCTGATACATACTGGTATCAAGACATTCTCTTGTGGCCATTGTAAGGAAGGTTTTTTGCACTGGAGATCCCTCATACGTCATATTGAAAATGAACATGTTAAGAAATCAAATCAAAGTAATGGTAGTGCTTCTTCATCTGACTCTTGAGCAGCTGACAACAATTTGCGAGGCAATGAAGGTATTGTGAAAGCCAATACAAATGTGCTGATGCAAAGTTTTCAAAATATATAAAATTGTG